AGAGTCCTCCATTCCACATTGGCCTGGCAGAAACCTTGGCTCTCCATGTCACTGACCACTATAGGGATCCCAGTCTCTGTCTCTCTCACACACACACACACACACACACACACACTGCAAAATACTGCCACAGCTTCTCCGAAAAATTTTTTTTCGTAATCTTTGCAATGCTTGAGTTTCTGGATATAAGCCCATTTGATTAATTGATTTTGCCCATTTCAGAAAAGACGCATGTCCTTAAAAGCCCCCCAAATTAGAGGACTTTCAGTCTGCATTGGTTTGGTCGGTTGGTCAGTTTGTTTGTTCCTTCTCATTAATTCCCAACAATTCATAAATGCTTAACTTTTTTTTTTTTTAACAGTCGATGGGCTATCCACTCTCCGAAGGGAAACTGGACCAGAAGACAGCCATGTCACTCTTGTGGAAGTCCTATCCCCTTGTTGTAAGAGTCTAAGAATCGTGGGAATTGGCTGAGCTGCAGAGAGGGACAATGAGTTGCCACAAATCGTAAAGCAATTAAAAGGCAAAATGAAGACTGGGGACTCAGGGTTTCCCCCATCTTTCCACCTTTCCCACTTTACTTTCCATCCTAGCAGGGAGTTGCACAGGGCTGGTAAGGTTCACCATTGAGACAGGCCTTTCCAGTGGGCTGGAGAAGCGGCATTACTCACCAGGGGATTGTGGCCACTTTATTGATCTATTTCAGTACATTACTAAGGAATTGATTCCAGAAGCCACTGAGAAATACTTAGGAGGAACAGATGACCCTGTCAAAAAGAAAGACCTGTTCCTGGACTTGATAGCAGATGTGTGAAGGCCACAAGAATCCTGATTCCAGAAGCCACTGAGAAATACTTAGGAGGAACAGATGACCCTGTCAAAAGAAAGACTCGTTCTGACTTGATAGCATGTGGTGTTTGAACCCGCCTGTGATTGCCCGGCACCACAGAGGGGAGTCCTAGAGGCTGGCTCAGGGAGGGACGTGACCCCACCAGCTTCTGTATCTATGACCCGCCTACCTCCGAGGCATAGACAGACCTGGAAAGAGCTGAGGGTCAGATTTCTGTGTATTGATTCCATATGGCATGGTGTGAGATGTTGTCTGATTTTTGGTTTATGCTAGCAGTAGATCAGAGGAAAAAAATCCAGAAGCAAGTAGTTTTTTAAGGTGAGTGTTCCTTGATAACAGCAGTAGATGTGTAGAAGAGAGAAAGAGATGGAATCTAACTGTGATGCAGTGGCATTACAGGAGTATCCATTGTGGATAACCGAGCTAAACCAAGGAACATGGAGAATACAGTGTCAGGCATCCATTTGAGGGCAGAGACAGGGTATTTGTCTCCCAGCTTCTGCTTAGCCATGGTTGAAGGCTCTGCAGGGTGAGCTGTTTATTGCCTGTGATTTGACCTGCTGCACACAAGGGCAGAGTAGTCTCTTGTGACCAGACAAAGGCCTCAGGTCAGAGCCACAGAGCTGCGGAGGTGGAAGTCAGGCTGGCATGACCAGGAGGAGGGATATTGGTAGAGAGACACAGCATCTGGCTGCATGGTCAAGCCTGGAGTTATCCTGAGAGACTGAAGGCCGGGACAACACCAAAGATGAGCTCTGGGATGTATGTCCAGCCGCTGCAAACAAGTTTGTTAAGTATTGAGCTGATAAAAAAGGAGTTCGGCATGGGTCCGGGAGGATTGTCCAGGACCAAGAAGGCTAAAGGGTGGGAGCCAGGCGGCTGTGGGGGAGGGGTGTTCTGAAGAATGGCAATGTCCGAGACTGGCTTTTTTCATCTCATGTGTGTGCAGTAATGGGCAAGTACAGGTCCACGCCAGCTCATGCAGGACCTTCTACCACTGACCCAAGGCTGTGGGTGGGGGTGCACAAAGAGATACATGGGCTCATCTAGAGGGAATAAACAATGCAAGAGCCTTCAACCAGTGTCCTTTCCTGTGCCAACCAGAGAGGAATGCGTGACTCTTCTTCCAGCTCTTATTCATTTAGCCTGCAAGCCAGGAGATGTCCTTTCTTAACCATCCTGGAAGGGTTTTTAAATTTGGAACTTCATAAGCATGATAAAAACTAGCTAAAGCTGATCTAACAGGTGCTCAGACACTGGCTTGCACAGGAGGGGCCGGTGCTCATAACTCTCACTTCTTCACAGGGTCCTGATTAAACCCTATAACCAGGACCACTGCAGCTGAATCTGTTCTTTCTTAAAGTTGGCCTTGCCCCATGCTCTGCATCTGATCTATATATAATGTTCGGGATTCCATCTTCTGATGGTTTGAGCACACTGAACTTCTGTTTTTCATCTGATTTCATGACTTTGAGTTCAGCGCTTTGTTTTGTTTTTTTCCAGGACAACACAGATATTATCAACTTTCCCTATTGTCCTGTCTCACACTTTTGATAAAAATAACATTTCTGAATATAAAAATTAATAAAAATTATAGAAAGTTTCAAAAATATGGAAACAATTGGAAAAAGAAGAAACTAGGTATCACCTGTAAATTCCAATTATCTGGGAGGCAAGTGGTATAAATTTTTTTGTGTTTTCATCCAAAGATTTTGGTGGCTGTCCTTTATAATTTTAAGAATCAATTTTATATTTTACTTTTGTTCATACAATACTATGTTGTGAGGATTTTCTGAATGTTGATACAAATTCATCAAAGCATTCCTTCTTCCATGGAATGGCTGTATTAAATTGACTTTAATATTCCTATCCCATTATGCATTTAGCCTGGCTGCTCACACTCTGATGCTACAATAACATTGTGCTCAGCCTAATGTTCGTAAGTCTCTAACCACATGTCTAACAATTTTCTTTGGATTATTTTTAGAAGCGAATAACTATGCTGGACAATAGAAATGTTTTAGAACTCTGAGCAAATACTGCAAAATTGCATTCCATTGCATAAGAATGGATCTCTTTAATTTTCCTCTCATTTGGGATGCTAAGGTTAAATATTAACATAAGACTGCCAGTTTCATATGCCTTCCCCACCAACAAGAAGCACATCAGCCTGTTTTAATCTGCATGTCTTTCATGACTAGCCCTCTCATTGTCTCTGTTTCTCTTATTGTGCCAAATTGTCATTACCCAAATCTGTGCCTCTACTTTCTCTGAAGACTTGTGATTGTAAGAATTGTATAAATATCAATGGCTTTAGCCAAAGAGTTTTACAAAGTATGTTTTCGGCAGCATGCTACCTATAATAAGCTTCATTCTCCAAAAAGCTCTTTTCTTCTATGGTTGGCTCTGAGTTTCTTTGAAAATCTTCATGGCAAAGGTGAGGTCAACCTCTCTTTAGTAAGTTTTGCTTGACCTTGAAGCAGCCATTTTAACAGGTGGGTTGGGCAGAGCCACAGAAGGATGGCATCTTCCAAGCACGCCCTGCTGAGCTGAGGGTGCAGGAAGGAGACTGACAAAGATGAGTGAATAGATTCTTCTTCATTCTCGATTGAAAATGACATGTGCGTGGTGGGCATGATAATAGGGATACGTGAGCCCCATTGTTAAATCCTTTTGTGGATGAATATTTAAGGATGTTAAGAAATGATGACTGCAGGTGGTGGCTCATGCCAATACTCTCATCACTTTGGGAGGCCAAGTGGGAGGATCTGTGAGGGCCTCGGATTTCAAGACCAGCCCGGGAACATAGTGAGATCCTGTTTATACAAACACATTTAAAAAGGAAATATTTATACTATTTAAATACCGTATATAATATATGACATATATATACTACAAAATATTGTATATAATATCATCCCAAGTTTATATACGTGAATAAGAGATATGCTAAAATCAAAAAAAGCATTCTGAGTGGTTGAGTTACAAGTGATATTCTAAATTTGATTGTTAAATGGATTTTAAATGATAGGATATGGAAAATTTTAAAGGAATTCCAAAAACACATAGCCCTTGCCTTATAGTGGAATTATGAGTGATACCTAGTTTGGTTTTTATGTGTTTCATAGTTTTGTCTTTCTAATTATTCCTAGTTGTTTTTGTTTTGTTTTCCAAATTTCTTACTGTACCCAAAGGGGAAGACATTGTAAATTTTCTCCACCAGCCTGGCATTGCCCTGACTCTTTCCTTCTTAGTGTCACTTCTCGGTGGGTATCATGACCAGTGCAAAGTGCTGAGGCACAAGGCCGGGCGGCCCACGAGGTAGCCCTGAAGGGGCAGTAGTGTGTGGCTCCAATGAGCCAATCATTGGGTAACTGGCCACTTCTTGGGGCTGAGACAGGAGAGCTTCGTAGCTGGGATAGGAGGGCAGAGCAGAAGGAGAGAGGACAGGGGAGAGGCAAGGTCACCCTTGGTCAGCCCCTTCTTTTCTCTGCCAGGACTTTAATGCCTTAACACCCTAACATTCCCAGGCCAGGCAGGCAGCAAGACACATGGGGACAGTGAGATATAAAGCAGTGAGCGCCACAGATTCCGGAGACACAAGAGGCAGATTGTTCCCTCTCTGCCTATGTTTGTATTTAAATAGCCTCACATTCAGACACGCAACTTGGATTTGCTTCAGTCTTCTCAGGATGGGTGAGAAAAACACTGGAAATGCTCAAAACGAGGCAAAACAGAAGACACTTGTCAGGGTGGAGATGGCGTCCAAGTGAATGAATGTGAGTCTATTATCAGTGAATTGCATCCAGTGCAACCAGATGTAGAGAGATTTTCTTCTGTGAGAATTCATCAGCAGGCAAAGGGGTTTATGAGGCTGAGTCAGGGTCCCTGCACTGGCAGTTATTTTAAATGAATTGACCCCGGATTTCCACATTCGTTCATTAAACATTTGTTCATTGAACAAATATCTGGCTCAAATTCCAGTTCCACGTCAACCAGCCATGCAGCCTGGAGCACATCACTGAGCTTTCCTGTGACTCTGTTTCTCTACTGTGCTGACAGCCTGAGGTTTCCTGCAGAGCTGGAGACCTTGGTAGCCTCAGGTGTGTGTCAGACAACATGAGCTGAGTATGAATCCTTGTCTTCTCAGATGCTGGAGCGCCCACCTACATGTATGAGTTTCAGTATCATCCAAGCTTCTCATCAGACATGAAACCCAAGACAGTAATAGGAGACCACGGTGACGAGCTCTTCTCTGTCTTTGGGGCCCCATTTTTAAAAGGTAATGGGTCCTTGCTGTCTGTGAGCTTGGAGTTAGGAGACCTGGGTTCCAGTCTTGGTGTAGGGGCTTCAGTAAGTTTCTCCTCTCCTTGTCTTAGTTTCCTGATTCTCTATAACAGGGTTGAACATCACTGGGTAGTCCCTGGGCTTCCTCCCACTCTAACACATGTGAGGTGGGATGTGTATTCATGTGACCTCTGCACAGACACTCAGAATCCTGGGCTGTGTCATTAACAAGATAGGCGGTAGGACACATGCAGGGCCCTGCTCTAGGTTGAGAAGCCACCAACCAATTTCCCTCTCCAAGGAGCACTGAGAATATGAGTGAGGATGAGGTTAAAATTGGTGTTAACCCTGAGTCAGGTCTAATGTGTGTCTGTTTGTCTTTCTGTCTGTCGCTAACAAAAACTCATAAACCTTTAAATTTAATACATTTAATAATTGTTAATTTACAAATCACAGGATGTATGAATTTGGAATATGAGAGGAGACTTATTTTTAGTCTTTATTTATAGTGAACTATTATTTATAGTCAGCAAGGTGGCCATCCCACAGGCTGGGAAGGTGCCTCTGGCCAAGCCCAGACACAGGCTCATCAAATGAGGAGGGTTTGTGTAGGAGCTTTATGTGAACGGATTGACTAAACATACGTGTTCAACAAGTTACAGGGGAAGCAATGGATATTCATGAAGACAGTCCTGACACATGTGTATTAAAAATGCATGTAACATGGCCCGTGTTCACCTGGTGGTGGAGACCTAATATTTAAATATATTATAATTAGGGCCTATAAGTCCAAAGATCTTCTCAGGACATAAAGCCCAGCAAGTGAGCAGCCTCTGTACACCGGCCAGGTCCAGTGCATGGTTGGTGATGTTTTTATCTGGAGAAAGTTACTGAAATCAGTCTCTTATGCAATCAAAGCCGTAGTTAAGACTGGAGGGTCAGGGTTCTGTTTGTCTGCGTATCCCAGCTGCAGCCATTGTAATTGTTTTCATTTTGCTTAACTCCAAGCCAGTGCTTGTTTAGCTGCCAGAGAAACAGAGGCACCTCGTGGCAGTGAGAACAGAGTGGATTCTTTAAGGGTGGAGATGTAGGCCTGAACCCTTGCCTGACGTGGCCTTAGGTCTGATTTTTAATTTGATGTCTTATTGCCACAAAGCGTGTGTTCTGTCAGAATGATGACCTTTATTTTACTGCTGATGCTGGTCAGTAGTGTCTAAACCACAAAAGAGAGGGAGTATTATGAGGTGTGTCTGACCTCCTGTCCGTTCCCAGGCAGGAACACAGTTGAAGGATTTTCTGGACTCCCTTTAGCCCAGAGAGGGTCTGTTCAGTCAGCTGGGGGTGTTAGGATTTTATTTTTAGACAATATTTTTACATTATACAGTGTACATTTTACATTACACACTATTTTTAAAAGTGCTTTCACAATGTCTTCTAAACCTTAACTCTCAGCAGTTACAGATCACATGGAACTCACCCCGCAGCTGCTCAGAACACACCAGCGCCTCTGGGCATCTCACTGTGCATGCTTAGGAGCCTTGCAGTTCTGTTGTTTTCCAGAATGTGAATTGTGGGTGTGTGCTGGGGAGGGAGAAAAGACCCAAGAGAGAGCAACCCTGGGAGGTGGGGTTGCCATAGAGGAAACCCTGGGGTGTGGCATTGCCTGTGACCCTGAGCAGGGAGGAGGCAGGCAAGGGTCACAGGAGACAAAGGCAGCCAGCACATGGAATGAATGACCGCATGCCATTGCTGAGCCTTAGTCGAATATGGTCAAGGTAAAAGTACACACAAATTCACCAGGATCTTCCCAGAACTGCAGACCTCAGCTCTCAGTGGGTGTGGAGCATTTACTTAAGACTATGTTTCTGAGCTGCATGTGATGTTGATGCTGCAGCTCTGTGGACCACACTTTCAGTCACAAAGGCTTTTTCTTCTTCCCACAGAGTGCCTCAGAAGAAGGGAATCAGACTTAGCAAGATGGTGATGGAATTCTGGGCCAACTTTGCTACATGAATGGAGTGACTCTTGGCAAAGAAGACAGGCAGGACTTTTGAAGATGGGTTACTTGGGGGTGTGGTGGGCGGGGCATGCCTATTGGGAAGGGGGCAGCTTCCTGAGTTCTAGTGATCAAACTTCTGACCCTGTGACCATAGCACTTTGACAATGAGAGCACTCTACAAATGGAGAGGCCGCCCTGTGATAGTGAGCTCTCCATCTCGGGAGGTATACAAACTCTTGACAGTGATAACTTGGGCATCCTCGCACATCTCAGAAGATGGGTGGGAACACAGCAGTTTTGGGGCAATTCTGTTTGTTTCTGTTTCCAGAAACCCCAATGGGAAGGAGCTGCCCCACTGGCCAGAGTAACCAGGAAGGCCACCTGCAGATTGTACTTAGCAACACCCAGGCGGCCCAAGAAGCTGAAGGACAAGGAAGTGGCTTTCTGGACCAAACTCTTTGCCAAGATCAGCGGTGGAGAAGCCACCCCAGACAGAACACATTGAGCTATGAATGAAGATCCCAGCCAGCCTCGGGGCCCTGGAAGAGCAAAGACTGGGGGTCTTTGCGAGAGAGGATTGCAGGTTCAGAGGCATCTTACCGTGGCTGCAGAATTTGTCTCACCTCAGTGGTGGGGCAGGGGCAGAGGCCACCCAGAGGAGAAAGTTTGTATTGTGACCTCCAGCTTTGGGAATAAAGTATCTCTTGAAGCCCAAAATAATGCTTGTGTCTTATACTGGAGATTAATCCATTGTTCTCAGAGACAGAATGATGATGAAATAGGCAGTGAGAAGGTGGCTCTACTGGGGATGACCTAACATAGGTAGGCAGAGCCCAGAGGACTGGGCCATGGTTGGTGCTCAGGGAACTCTGGGCCTGTTGATCTGGGCCCCCAACAATTTCCAACGATAGGAGTTAGAGTGGCCCAGGTGTAGCATCCAGACCCTCTATTTGGAGCTGTCTGTGTGAAATTGACATGGCCCAGGCTGAGAGTCTCCGCCTGGATCCGGGAAAGAGAGACACGCTGAGGTGATCCTGTTGCATTGTTGCATGGCATTTGCTGGTGCTTGCACGGCCTACAACACCTTTCTGAGTATGTATACTAGCCTCTCAAAAACCCCCATGAGGCTGTGTCTTCCAACAACTGGTCTAAACTCCTTCTGTAGCCTGATGCTGCTGGTACGCGGATCACACTTTGAGTCCCAAAGGCTTTCTTCTTCCATGAGAGGTGCCTCAGAAGAGGAGATCAGACTTAGCAAGATGGTGATGAAATTCTGGGCCAGATTTTACTCGTTATGGGTGAGGCTGTTTTCAGGCTCTTATGACCCTTAAAAGCCACTCATAGGTATATATCCAAGAGAAATGCACTCATGTGGTCATTAAAAGATATGTCCTAGAATATTCTTCATAACAACACTATAATAATCTAAAACTCCAGAGTGTAGCATCCAGACCCTCTATTTGGAGCTGTCTGTGGAAATTGACATGGCCCAGGCTGAGAATGCGCCTGGATCCGGGAAGAGGGAGACACGCTGAGGTGATCCTGTTGCATTGTTGCATGGCATTTGCTGATGCTTGCACCGGCCTACAACACCTTTCTGAGTATGTATACTAGCCTCTCAAAACCCCCCATGAGGCTGTGTCTTCCAACAACTGGTCTAAACTCCTTCTGTAGCCTGATGCTGCTGGTACGCGGATCACACTTTGAGTCCCAAAGGCTTTTTTTCTTCTTCCCCGCAGAGGGTGCCTCAGAAGAGGAGATCAGACTTAGCAAGATGGTGATGAAATTCTGGGCCAATTTTGCTCGTTATGGGTGAGGCTGTTACCTGAAGCTCTTATGACCCAGCAAAGCCACTCATAGGTATATATCCAAGAGAAATGCACTCATGTGGTCATTAAAAGATATGTCCTAGAATATTCTTCATAACAACACTATAATAATCTAAAACTAGAGACTATCTATTATGGACTGAATTATGTTCCCCCCAAAATTCCTATGTTGAAGCGCCAACCCCTCATGTAACTATATTTGGAGATAGAGCCTTTATGAAGTTAATTACAGTTAAATAGGTCGTAAGTGTGTGGCTAGCGTCCAGTGGAACTGGTGTCCTTATAAGAAGAAGAAACACCAGAGCGTGCGCTCTCTCTCTCTGTGTGTCTGTTTCTCTGTCTCTCTCTCTCTGTCTCACTGCTCATGCACAGAAGAAAGGCCACATAGGACACAGTGAGAAGGCAGCTGGCACCTTGATCTGGAACTTCTAGCCTAGAGAACTAAGCAAACGTGAATTTCAGTTGATTAAGCTGACTCATTTCCTGGTGAGGGCTGTCTTCCTTGTTTGCAGATTGCTGCCTTCTCACTGTGTCCTGGTCTGGAACTTCTAGCCTTGAGAACAGTGCAAATGCGAATTTCAGTTGATTAAGTAACCCAGCCTATGGTATTTTGTTACAGAATTCCGAGCAGACTAATACATTCTCCAAATGCCCTAAACCAGTAGAATGGATAAATTATGGCATATCCATATAATGAAAGACTATACAGCAATGATAACAAACTCCAGTCATATACAACAATACACGTGAATCTCCTAAACATAATATTGAGGGAAAGGAGCCAGATGCAAGAGTATGTGATGCTGTTCATATAAAGCGCAAAACCTGGAAAAAGTAATATTGCTGTTAGACGTCAGGAATGTGATGACCATTTTGGGCAGATAGGCAAGGAGGGGGAAGTGGGCAGGGCCTGGAATTGAGCTCCATATGGCTTCTGGTATGCTGGTAATATTGTCTCTTGATCTGGGTCCTAATTACACAGTGTTATCAGTTAGTGAAATTACCAAGTCGTAATATATACATAGCGTGTATGTGTTTGTGTGAATGTGTATATGTGTGTGTGTATATATATATTTCTTGTATGTATGTTTTATTCAATAAAAAACTTAAATGTTTGTACCAGACTTTAAGAACCTGCTATCTAATACAGGAGACAAGATTGATACAGATAAAATTACTGGTGATCATATAAATTATAGTTACAGGATAGAATATAAATGCTCAAACGCAGCAGTGATTTTAATCAGGATTCTATCGTATGTACTAAGAGAAATCCAAATGAAACTTACCTAAAGCATATATTGAATAAATGTGGTCTCTCACATGAAAAGTTCAGGAGGTAAACAGAGCTTGAAACACAATTACATAAATAAATGTAATTAATGAAATAAATAGATTAGATAGATAATAGATAGATGATAGATAATTGGTAGAAAGATGATAGATAGATCGATAGATAGATAGAGAGAGAGACAGATAGATAGATAGATGATTGATAGATAGATAGATAGATAGATAGATAGATAGACAGACAGACAGACATTTTATGGCATTGTCTTCCTATAAAGAGAGAAGTCTGTTTCCTACAGGTCAAGGTAGAAAAGCTGTCCTCCAGGCACCCATGATATGCTCCAGCAACCTTGCCAACACCAGCCCTGCTGCCCGTGGGCTGGCCCCCTTGCCGCCACTGCTCAGGGTTACACTTCCACCACGCTGTGGCTGGCCATCCGCCTTCGTAGCCGTCCTGTAATTTCAGACTTGAGCTCCACCCCATTCATGGAGCACAGCAAGCTCTTAGCAATGAATTCCCTTGTATTTTGACACAATCATGGTGAGGTTTTTTTCTCCCCAGTCCTTCCCGTCCCAAGGAATAATGAGGCACATTATTGATAGAAATTTTTAGCAGAGCACATGGGACAGGAATGAGTGGAATCTGTCCCTGCTTGGGGAAGGGAGTTTCATTTAGTAGGTGGGTTACCCGGGGCAGCACCAGGTGGGGCAGCTACCCAGGTGCAGGGCCTGAGCCAGCTTCCCACCCTCCCCTGCAGCTCTGCTCTGGGGAAATTTTCTTTTTTCTTTCTTTTTTTTTTTTCAGACGGAGTCTCCCTCTGTCACCCAGGCTGGAGTGCAGTGGCATTATTTCCGTCACTACAAGCTCCTTTTCCTGGGTTCACACCATTCTTCTGCCTCAGCCTCCCAAGTAGCTGGGACTACAGGTGCCTGCCACCACACCCGGCTAATTTTTTACATTTTTAGTAGAGACAGGGTTTCACCGTGTTAGCCACGATGGTCTCGATCTCCTGACCTCGTCGTCTGCCCGCCTTGGCCTCCCAAAGTACTGGGATTACAGGCGTGAGTCACCGTGCCTGGCCCTCTCCATTCTTTCTATCTATCCAATCTTTCTCATGGGCTCCCGATAGATGTCCATTGGGTAGAGTCTGTGAATGGAGTCAACTCCTCCTTGGGTCCATGGTTCCCAGAGATTTTATACTCTCACAGTGGCCCGCACTTGGCCTTCAGCACTTATTAAAATTCAGAGTATTTCTGCTCATTATGGTTACCCCGTCTCCTGCCTGCAGGTGAGAGGTAATGCAGTGTTCAAATCCCACCACTCCCCCAAGTGCTTGTCTTCCTGTTGATTTCAGGGTAATCATGTGCCTTGCAACTTCAGCTATTTGGTGCAGGAAAAGTTATGATTTTGAGGACAACGCAGCTTTCTCTTGCTGATAAGGCAGGAGTGACACTCTTTAGAGCTTTCTACATTCTAGCAGAATCCAGAAATCACCCCTGAGATTCTGAAAGACACAGTATTAGGATGACCCTCTGGAGACTTACTCCAAGGTGGTCACTGCCCGTAGCAGAAGTGGTCTGGATTACAGAGGGAGTTTAGCTGTTGAATGAGACAACCTCAGGGAGGGGTCTAGGAGGCTAGTGTACATACTGAGGAAGGTGTTGCAGACCTGTGCAAGAATCAATAAAGGCCATCCAACAGTGGCAAGGGATTACCTCGGAACCTCTGTCTCTTCCCTGATCCAGGCAAATTCTCACCCTGGGCCACTTCCATTTCCATAGGCAGCTCCAAATGGAGGATAGGGATGCTGCACTCTGGCAATCCCAAATCCTATTGTTGGAAATTGTTGGGGGCCCAGAAACACCCAGCAGGTCCAGAGCTCCCCTGAGCACTGTCCATGGCCCAGCCCTCTGGTCTCTGCTTGTCCTGAGGCCAGGCAATCTCCAGCAAAGCCAACTTCCTTCTCATATTGCCTCTTTCATCACTTTCCTGTCTCTGAGGAGGATGGATTAATCTTCAATACAAGACACAAGCACTGATTTAGCTATCGAAAGATCTTTTATTGCCAAAGCTGAGGTCACAAATAAAAAACTTGCTCCCTCATGAACTCTGCCCCCTGCCCCCTGCCCCCCAACACCAGGCAATTCCCCAGCCATGGTAAGATGCCTTCTGAACCTGCAATCCCTTTCGCAAAAGACCCCAGTCTTTGCGCCTGCAGGCTCCCGAGGCTGGATGGACCTTCCATTCACAGTTCAATGTGTTCTGTCTGGGGTGGCTGCTCCGCTGCCTTCTTAAAGAGGTTGGTCCAGAAAACCACTTCCTGGTCCTTCAGCTTCTGGGCCGCCTGGGTGTTGGCACCAATCTGCAGGTACCCTTCCTTCTGGTTGTACTTTGGCCAGTGGGGCAGCCCTTCCCCATTGGGGTTTCTGGAAACAGAATCAAATAGAATTGCCCCAAAGCTGCTGTGTGTTCCCAATAATTTTCTGAGATGTGCGAGGATGCCCAAGTTATCTCTGTCAAGAGGCTTGTATATCTCCAGAGATGGAGAGCTGACTATCTCCAGGTGTGGCCTCTCCAATTTTAGAGAGCTCTCATTGTCAAAGTGCTATGGTCACAGGGTCAGGAGATTGATCACTAGAACCTTAGAAGCTGCCCCTTCCCAATAGGCATGCCCTGCCCCTGATCCTCACCAGCCCTGCTCCATCTTTGCCACCAGCCTCACCCACTGCGAGCAAAGTTGGCCCAGAATTTCATCATCATCTTGCTGAGTCTGATCTCCTCTTCTGAGCCACCCTCTGTGGGGAAGAAGGAAAAAAGCCTTTGTGACTCAAAGTGTGATCCGCAGACCTGCAGCATCAACATCACATGCGAACCTGCTAGAAACATAGTCTTGGCGAATGCTCCACACCCACTGAGCTGAGGTCTGCAATTTTAGAAGAGCCTGGTGGATTTGTGTGTACTTTTCTATTGAGCATGGCTGACCTAGGGCTCGGCAATGGGCATGCATCATTCTGTGTGCTTGTTCCACCTCCCAGGGTTGCTCTCTCTTGTGTCTTTTCTCCCTCTCCTGCACACATCCACAATTCATATTCTGAAATATAGCAGAGCTCAAGGCTCCTAAGGGTGTACAATTGGGACATGCCAAGCGGAGCTAGTGCATCCTGAGTGGCCATGGGGTGAGTCCCATGTGATCTATAACAGCTGAGAGTTAAGGCTTAGAAGACATTGTGAAAGGATTTTTTAAAATATTGTATAACATAAACTAAAAATAAAATCCTAACACCCTCAACTCACTGAACTGACCCTCTCTGGTCTAAGGGGAACCCAGAAAAGCCCTAAACTGAGTTCCTGCATGGAAACAGACAGGCGGTCAGACACACCTCATAATATCCCTTCCCTTTTGTGGTTTAGACACCACTGGACCAACATCAGCAATAAAATAAAGGTCATTATTTTGACAGAACACACTCTTTGTGGCAATAAGACATCAAATTAAAAAAAGATCTAAGACCATGCCAGGCAAATGTTCAGGCCTGCATCTCTAACCTTAAAGAATCCACTCTGTTCTCACTGCTGCAAGGTGCTTCTTTTTCTCTAGCAGCTAAACCAGCACTGGCCTAGAGTTAAGCAAAGTGAAAACAATTACAATGGCTGCAGCTTGGAGACACGGATGAACAGAACCCTGACCTGCCAGCCTTAACTATGGCTTTG